CACTATATAAATAAAGGTGAGTTGACCTGACTAATCAGACATCAATTATGCTGCATTCTGTTCAACCTCAAGTCGGAATTTCAAACTCCCAACTTTAAATGCAATGCTGCATTACTTTGCGCATTCTTTTGCTGCGTTCCAAAGTCAGATCTAACTTCATTTCTGTTTTACTCATTTGATGAATTTCATTAGCTTAAAAGTGAAAGTTTTTCATTAATTGTCTACATCTCGATGTCAACATTATACTCACTCATCTTGGCAAAATCTCCGACTTGTGTACTGACAGATTTCCCAAGCTGGAGGTCCGATTTCACATGGCATTCAATTGCACATTTCAAAGTACAACATTGAATGAAACCTAGCAATATAAGCTTGCATGACACAGCTGTCAAGACATGTCTAATAATGATAGTACTCTAAGAAAACTGATGGAGCACTGGCTGGTCTAAGCCCAGGACGGCTCAATGCTTTGTGCAGTTTGAGTCCAATGTGGCAGGGTTTGCTTTAGAGGAGGCATAGAGATGAAAGGGACTCTTTATTCCCCCAGCAGGTTGATATTCAGGCCAGTGGTGCAGAAAAAAAGTGTGGGCCAAAGAGCAAGTTTTAACAGGTATGAATCAGGGGTCTAATGCTAGACAAGCTTCAGGAGCAATTATGGTCTAAGCCGCAAGCTTTCAAAGAAGATGCTGGGCAACTGACCAATAAGAGTGGCCTTTAAGATGGCTGACAGATTCTCCTCTGTTTGAAAGGAGTTGAAATGACAGGTCTTTGGAAAAAGCTTTTTGAAAGCCTGGTGGGGGGGGGGGGGGGTTTTTTTTTTTTTTTTTCATATCTTTTTGTTTTTTTCATGTTTTTATGACAGTAACCAAAGTCCCTTTAAGGCAAGTTATGTTACTCAGCGGCCATCTTTGAAACGCCTCTCGGGCATGCAAGTGCAGTTCCTATCACTTTGAATGGGTATTTTTTTTCATATCTTTTTGTTCTTTTCATGTCTCTTAACATGCTGAAATTTTATGCTAAATGAGCAAAACTCAGCATTTCAAGATATCAAGCAATCAAATTTTTATGTCAACAGGAGACGCTATTCACAAACCATTTTAGTTGATAATCTGGTGTAAACAGGATTTAAAAATGAGACATTTTATGTATTTGTAATACATTTCCTAATGCATTTGAGAGAAACACACTAGAGATCCATGTTAATTGCTCTTAATTTTGAATGAACCATATGGGAACATATTGTATGTCTGTGCATAAGCTAAAACCATTTGATTATTGCATTGATCTATTATTGTTTTTTTCATAAATGGATATAGTGATGCAGTCCAATGAAGGGTGTTGTGCTAAGAAAGAAAAAAAGGGGGGAAAAGTGGAGGATTGTCCCCTCCATTACTCCACAGCCAATTCGAGGCCGTGGGCTGATGATCCCAAAGTTACTTTAGACTATCACTCATGTTTTTCCTCAGAGGAGAGTGCTTATCGATTTTGTCAACAGCCAATTGATTTTTCTTTCTCTCTTTCTCTCTCACTCTTTATCTTCCCCAATCGCTCTCTCTTCAGACCTTGCTTTGGGAAATGTGTCCTGTGGTAGCAAGTCTAACCCTTCTGGGAGACAAAGATGCTAGCATTTATTAAAATTTTTCTCTACTGCCAATTCAAATATAAAGTCCTCACACCACGATAAGAGAAACAATAGATACTTCAAACTGAGGACATTTAGGGAAAAAAGGTGTCAGGATATTGGACGATGTTCTAAATGCCAACTGTCCTGGCGGGAATTTCTTTTCAAATATAGAATGGATAAAACTTACCAAAAACGTGACCAGATCACATTTTACTCAAAATACTAATTTTAACTAAAAAATGATAGACTGTATGTACAGTCATGGCCAAAAATATCAGCACCCTTGGTAAATATGATCAAAGAATGCTGTGAAAATTAATCTGCATTGTTAATCCTTTTGATCTTTTATTTAAAAAAATCACAAAAATCTAACCTTTCATTGGATAATAAGAATTTAAAATGGGGGGAAATATCATTATGAAATAAATGTTTTTCTCTAATACACATTGGCCACAATTAACGGCACCCTTTTATTCAGTACTTTTTGAAACCTCCATTTGCCAGTTTAACAGCTCTAAATTTTCTCCTATAATGCCTGATGATGTTAAAGAACACCTGACAAGAGATCAGAGACCATTCCTTCATCCAGAATCACTCCAGACCCTTTAGATTCCCAGTTCCATGATGGTGCTTCTCCTCTTCAGTTCACCACACTCATTTTCTATAGGGTTCAGGTCAGAGGACTGGAATGGCCATAGCAGAAGCTTGGTTTTGTGCTCAGTGACCCATTTTTGTGTTGTTTTTGAGGTTTGTGTTTG